GATATTTTCTGTCGATGCATGCATTGTTTTAATGTGATTTAAATGAGTAAATACTCCATTTCTTTTAATTGAAAATAGAAATAAAATAAATTCTTTTAACATTGTACCACGCCCATGTGATAGCAACACGTACCGCAGTTAAGGTAATGAATGTTTACTGATATGCGGGAGTACTCATGTCTTTCCGTGCTTGACTAACCAAAAAGTCAAACACGGGTGCGGATAAAAAAACCAAAATGTAACATTTATGTATTTTACTGACAAGTGCAAGCGCTAAAATTTATTTGCGCCAATGCATTCCCACTTGCGTTTGCGCTAAAATACGTATGCGCCAAATTTTCTCGTTTTACAGTACATGGTTTATGTGCTGGCTTAATATCATTGCAAATGATGCAAATGATAAATTTTTCTAGAATATAAAGAAATCGTAAACCTTCAGTGATGTTTAAAAGTGTGTTCATCCTTATTAATCTTTACAAATATTTTCACTTTAAATTCCATTCTTATAAAAATTTGAATACAATTAAAATTAAAAATACGCGGTGAAAGTAATTCATTTTGTTCTTTTGAACATGACCATAGTTGTCATTTTCAAATTCTTTGACAAAAGTGTGTTTGTATCATCTGTCCTTAATACTTTCTTTATTTTCTTTTTCATAATGTTGATTAAAACAAGTATAACGTCTCATATTTCCGGAGAATAGAATAACTTTACAAAGTCACAAGATCGATAAAGTGCATTCTCCTGTATATTAAATAACAAAAAAGGTAGTCGAATAAAGCTAAAGATTTTCTTTTCAGTACACATGGACCGAAATAGTTAAATAGCCCAGCTCAGATAACATTCCGCCGACGGTAATCGTTAGCATAAAACGCATAAGGAGTCTCAGGTAAGACAATGCACTTCAGTTAATTTCTTACATGCTTTTTTATTGAATTGCAACATCTAAAAACAAAAAAAAAATTCTTCTTTTAATTAGCAATGTCAGTTAATGTAATTTGCAGAATCCAAAAAAATATATATATTTAGGGTCTTCTTTGCATTAGACAATAGTTTGCAACTTGGGAATTCTGTAGCACAATAAAAAATTCAGTCGGGCGCCTTTAAGCAATGTCCGTTTTATCTAGCTGGAATATTTATAAATTTACTTGAATTTGTGATGTCATTCAAATGATGCAAAAATTATGAAAAGTATCTGCTTGCTGTACATTTCACGGTTAAATGCACCTGACCTCATTTGATGAAACAATGGAAAATAAATATATTTATACTTTATACATTATCCCATTCTCTCTCTCTATATATATAAATATAAAGAGAGGGAGAAGGTGTTCATATGTTTCATGATACTCGATTACTTTTAGATTTATTTCTCTTCTTTTAGTTTCGTTTTTCCATGTTTTTTTTTATTCCATGAAAACTTATAAATAGAATAGATAGAAATCTATTTATGGAAACATCAAAATGTCTGCGATAGGCCGGATAAGGCATATTGTTGTAAGATAAATAATTATACTCTTATTTGACTTTTTGATAGGACAAAATTTCAGTTTCAATACGAATATACTAAGTCTACATAATAGTCTAATACGAGTACATCAAATCGTAACTTTGTTCATAAAAAACTCAAAAACTTCATGTGCAAAGCTCTATGTGTTGTATTTCAATGTAATTTTTTTTAGCTGAAATGAAGATGCAATTCATGGTGCTTCTTGTCATTTTCTTAGAAACAGCAGTAAGTAAATAAAATTTTGTAAAATATCAATTTAATTTTTTTTTACATCAATTGTAGCTTTTTATTTCATTTTTCTTGTGCAAATTAATGTCTTTTAAGAATTAAAGATATACATGTAGATGATTTCATCTTTTCTTGTAATAAAGTAATGTATGTTTTATTTGCTCGTACATCATTCAAAGAAGTTTATATGTATTTATGTCTATTCGTACTAATAGGAGATAAAACTCGTAAAAACAACATGTCCAGCTTCGGTTCCAACAATTCGATATGTATCGTCCTGTCCCAGTAATGAAGAGGCATGGAAAATAGCCGAATCAAAAAAGAATTGCAAAAGTTTAGCTGATATTCAGAAATGTGTTGCAGATCCCTCTAAATTTAAGTATCACTGTCTTGTGAACAGCTATTTGAATGCAACTTTAGAAGTGTGTGCACCAATCCGGTTTGCCTCAGGTAATTATCAATAATAATAATAATAATAATGATAAATTCTAGATTTTGTTCAAAAGATGTGATGAATGATATTTAATACAACTGTATTGTAAATAAATTCATTCTTAATAGGTTACTGTGCCGATTTCAATACCCTGCAAATAAAAGTGACGGAAAATTATAATATTGACTGTACAAAGCTAAATCCCGCATGTCCTCAAAGATATGTATCTACAGATATATATAAATGTAAGTTTCTTTGACCAAACAAATTATGCAAATGTCTCAATTAAAATAGCTAACAAAATGAATATTATATTTGTTATTTTAAGACCCATCCTGCTACAAACTGAATGAAAATCATGACAAACTGCAAATTCCACTCAATCAGCTAATACAGCACAGTGACAGACTTTTCAACAACAACGTTTGTACACAACACAAAGGGAAAAACGAGGTTTGTATCATAAGTATTGTAAATGGTAAAGATTGAAGCACACTTCTCAACATTATAGTCACAAATAAGTCCTTTGGATATAAGTTTGTTCTAAAATCTAAAAAGAACAAACTCTACATTAAGAGAAATTAGCTTAGTGTAATTTATTTTTTAAAAATTAAGCCATCCATTTACTAGATATTTTAACATTGTCAATACACTTTTAAAATATAGTAAAGTATTTTAAAATACTCCTGCATTTAGTTTTGTCCAGTTTTTTAAAAAAGAGGGGTAAACTTCTAACTGCAAATAATTACTATTTGGCCAGTTTTTTTTTAACTTATTCCAAATAAAATATCCTGGCCTTCACGAAAATGGCGTTAAAAAGGTCAAAATGGCGATTCAAAATGGCAGACATAAAATTTTTTCTAATGTTCTCTTAATGTCGTTCAAAAAAGAGAAACATTGTGTGAATATCTCACGGTGTGTAATGCAACTATGCGAATGATAATAAATTGTTTATATTATTACTTCAATTTAAGAAAATTTAAATTAATTTTTTTTGATTTATTTGTTTTTGTTTCTGTATTCTGCTTTGTTCAGGATTTTACATTTGCAAATATCCATACACTGCAGTTTTGGGATTTTTTGCATCTCACTATTCGACAACTGAATGATGGTGCAGTTTTTAAGATATAAGTAAAAATGGCGATTCAAAACGGCCGGTAATCATTTTTTTTCAAATTATTTCTTAGTGTTTAAGTAGGAGAAATTTTAAAGGATAAGTGGATTTTCAGAGCTTGGTAAAAGAGGGTAAAATTGGGGCCTTTTTTCTTTTTTGGAAAATTTGTGGTTTTTTTAAAATGTGTTTATTCGCTCAAAATGGCTTTTTTCAAAATGACAAACACTCGAATTTCTTTAAATTTATATACTCACACTTCTTAATTCTGAGTCGTTTTGCAGAAATGAATTTATTATAATTTGTTTTTTTTAATTAATGAAATTATTTAAATTTTCCATTTTAGTTTGAGGAAATTGTTGTTAATGACGTATGATTTTTATGTCTTTGTTTAATTACTTTTATTTTAAGATAAACTTCTGAATTTTTTCCCCCTAATCATCTTCCTATTCTACAAGTGCATGATGGTGCATCTGTAATTTACAATTCAAATTTTCGGAAGAATCTCTGCAGTGACCCATTCATAAGTTTGCAGCAAAGAACCAAGAACATCTATCACATCTGTTCGCTCAAAGTAATGTGAGGCTATCACTACACATGCCGAATTTTTAAAACCCAAAACCCTGGCCTTGCTTTGCATGCATATATAAAGAATGTGAAGCGTAATTTCTATTGAATAATTTTTTATGCATAAAAGTGGACACTGAGTATTTGTTGTGCAACTTAAAAATATGTTTTTTGAAATCAGTTAATTTTCTTTCCCCCAGTTTTCTATTGGCATGTACTACAATGAGTGAATTATATTCAATATACATGTATATATTTTCTGAAGCTCTGGAAAATACAGATTTATCGTTGGAACAATCGCAGGATTTAAAAAGGTTCCATTCACATTAGACAGTTGTCTACCTCTAAAAGAATAAGCAATAGTAAATCAATGTATGACATGCTGGTATGATAGCCAGAGGTGCTAGAGGGTACTAAAAAAGTACTAGAGCACTGCTTGGAGTTCAAAAGACTGCTTCTTCACTCAGCGAAGAATTACTAAAGCAATATCACCACATTTCAATCTATCTTCAACCACCCAAAAAAATTTTCCCCTCCCTCCCTTCCAAAAACAGCGAGCACTAACAATGTTTTTAATAATGGTATATAGGAGGAGACGGGATATATTTTTTTTAGGTAAATCAAAGCTAAAAGCCAGAGGAATTTCTCTTGGGCCCTTTTCTTTTGATTTTAAAGCCGATTATATTGATTAATTCATTTTATGAGCAAACAAAAACATATTAGCAAAGTTTTATTTTTTTTGGAAATAGTTCAAAAAAAAAAATATTTGGGGAGTTTCCAAATGTTTTCCTCATATTTACCGTGTTCCAAAGCCTTTAAATCCCTTCCACCAAAAAAACCCCTGATTCGCTGTCATTATGAATTTGGGACTTCCCCCGTCCCCCAAATCCCCATCAATACACTGATAAATATGTTGTTAGGTTTCATGGGGCCCCCTTTTTACAAGATTTTGAAATTAGCACTTGTAAGAATTGTATTATCCCCCTAAAATCATTCCCCGCTTTAAATGCTATATGTTTCAGTCTGTCTACGGAAGTTTTGGGCTTTTTAACACTTAAAGTACAACACCTTTAGGTCATATGTAAAAAGTATATATTTTGTGTCCCAAAACCGTGTACAAAAAGAGAAAATTCTTGATTTTAAAGTATTTTGTGACCGTTTAGATTCGTTGTCTTTTGGGGTAGGGAAAAGGGCATTCTAGCTATCCCTAGCTCTCTTTTTGGGTTTTGGTCTATCATTTTATAAATCCTAAGTTTTGTTGCACAAACCTTTTTCCCCATGAACATAAAACATTTAATTTTTCTAAATGGGCTAAAAATACTATTAGAATTTCCAACAACTGATATGATTTTAATTAGCAACCATTGAACTACAAAGCTCACTCTTCTTTATGCTCGGGGGAAAACGACTTTCATGTAAGTGGCATATTGTCCTTTAAACAGTAATTATTGTATATTGTTATACCTTTAGAAATTTGTTCCTATACAATTCTATCCGAAAAAAAGTCTAAAATATTTAATGTTTTTGAGCGGGCATAAAAAAATCGATGTTGGACCGCTGAGTGAGATGTTGGACCGCTTACGTCACAGAATGGGCGGTGCTTAATCTCATTTTCATTCGCTGGTGTTAAACATGGAAAGATTTGATGTTACATCACGGAATAAAGTACAAAATACATGTAAATTAAAAAATATAAAATAAAATAAAATGAAAGGTATAACAAAACATTTATTACTTTAAAATTTTCCGGGGAAAAAGAGTTTTGTCGGGCCCCCGAAAAACGCCCCGCCTTCGGCCTACGGCCTCGGCAGACATTTTGGTTTTTGGTTTAAAAGAAACGCATGTTGCCCTTGAACTCGTCAATAAATGTATATTATTAACTTTTTTACATAGAAAAACACAGGTGAGACAGGTAATAATTAAAAATGATTTCGGAATTATCGACAAAAGTAATTATATAAAGACATGCAGTAAAAACAATATCCTCCAACTTTAATTGAACATTAGAACATTATTCTATCAATTAAAAAAGATGTAATAAATTTATTCTCTTCCCAAAAAGACTCAGAATTAAGAAGGGAATATTTAAGGAATTCGTCATTTTTGAACCGCCATTTTGAGCTAATTAACACACATAAAATTTAAACGATCGAATTTCTCGAATAAAAGTGATAATATTAGTGCTCTATTGTCATTTTAGTTGTTGTACTACGCTCAGTAAGATATTCATAAATCCTTTTCCCATTTGAACATTAAGAAATAATTTGAAAAAAATGAATATTCGCCGTTTTGAATGCCCTTTTGACTTATAACTAAAAGCTGCACCATCATTCAGTTGTCGAATAGTGAGATGCAGAGGGGAAAAAAACAATTCTGCAGTGTATGGATTTTTGCAAATGTAAAATCCTGAACAAAGCAGAATACTGAAACAATAGACAAATAAATCAGAGAAAATTACATTCGAATTAAATGTAGAAACGACTAAATTTTCTGAGTTAAAGTAATAACATTACCAATCTATTATAATGGGTTTATAGTTGCATTACACACTGTGAGATAATCACACATTACATGTATATTTTTGTTTTAATGTTTTGAAAAGAACTTGAAAAATTTGACGCCATTTTCATGAAGGCCAGCATATTTTCGGATTCAGCATAATCAAATAGGTTAATAAACTTCGCTGGACCAAATAATGATTATTTGCCGTTAGAAGTATTTTCCTATAAATCTAAACCGGGTAATTTAAATGTTTTATGTAAAAATGATGTGTTTATTTCAGGTCCTTTTACATTGCTGTAGTTGTTTTGGGGGTTCTGTTTTTATTGCTTTTTTCATCGGTGTTTCTCTTGCTGTCTACAAATTTCGCAAAAAATTCATATGTAAAAAATTGGGAAAAAAAATTCGCAGAAAAAAATATTTAAAAAATCATGAAATATGTCGGTATAGTTTTTAATTTAACTTCACCCAATATGCAATACTTGTTCTTTTTTAAACTTTATTTTAAAGGGCGTTAACCCCCACCCTCAAAATTGCTGAAGAAAAAAAATAACTACAACTAATAAAATATATTTTTTTCATTCCATGGCTTCATATATTGTATAATATCATAATACTACATACACTTTTTAAACAATTTACAGTCCACCGAATGTCAAAGAACCCTTTAGATGATACAGGTGAGCCGATTTAAGTAAATGCTGCTTTAATTGTTGTCTAACGCATGGCTTTCGCTTTGGGCCATATGAGACATATGTCCTGGAGATAACAAAATTTTTGTCTTGAACCTTATTTATTAATCCCCTACCGGTGAAACCGGAGAGGACCATATGTTTCCTCTGCGTCTGTCCGTCCGACCGTCTGTATTTCCGTCTGTCCGTCTAGCTGTACGTCCCCGTTGTCTGTCAGTCTGTTGCACATGGTTTTCCGCACTTTTTTCCTAAACACTGACAGATATTGAGCTGATTTTTGGTACGTTGATGTATCTTGATGGACTACAGATCTAATTTGAATACCGTTCCACTTCAATGATTTTTAATGGAAATACGGCCTCTTCAATGTTTCAGGCATTTCCGCACTTTTTTAAACGCTTGCAGATATTGAGCTGATTTTCAGTATGAGACTCACCCAGCTAAGTTAAGGCTGCCGGTAAAATATCAAACAGTTTAAACTGTAGTTACTTCTCTGAACTACCTAGATATGACGTCATAATAGCTATGACGTCAAGTCACTGCATACTTGTGCTGACATGACGGGGAAAGTGTCATTCATTACATAGCATGTAGATTTAATTTGGAGACTTTTTGTTAAATTCAAATGTACAGTGTAAGGATTGTATTTTAAGCTCAAGTGTGTTGTTATGACTTGAACATTTAAAATTTAAAAATATCCTTATTCCTTGTCCGATATGCACATATTCAAACAGTAGCAAAAAATATGTGTGAAACGCTCCACCTTACACGTCCGTAGACAGAGTTGAAAATTATGAATCGTGTATATATTGGACTGGCACGGGGGATTGTGTGTAGTTTAGCCATTTTTGTATAAATCGCGATAAATTTAAAGAGTGGAAAATACGCAAGTGAGCAAGTTGAATTTCTCGTAAAATATTTTTTTAACGAGTAAAAATTAAACCCGCCCCCAGCACTTTCAATGTCTCAGAGATCACGATGAATTGATCTATGTAACAAACTTTGCACAATATTTTTGTTTTGCACTTGCGCTGAAGCGATTTTTGAGCAACTATTAGGAATTTCATAAATCTCCGTCATGTGTTCAATATAGTCATGTGTCATCACAAAATCTTAAAATAAAACCTGATTATTCTATTATTTTAAGTTGACTACAATTTCAAACAAGGATTACATATCAAAATTAATATCTAGCACAAAGTATAATGTATATTTTCAAAGCATTGTAAGCCTTCGGACAGTCTTATCATTACTGCGTTACCTTCATTATTTATAGACCACGTTTATATTTCGTTCTGTTTAATTGATTTTTAAAGAATTGTGGTATTTTTTAAATTGTATAATAGGGTTCATTATAGGGTTCGTGATGCAAATAAATTTATGTCGTGATGCACTAAATTCATGTTCTAAACGAGATTGTCATGAATTGAAACTTGCTAGATACCTTGATTACGCTTATTATGTTAAGGCAGCATATGGACCAGAATTCGGCACATTAACACTTTTTTATAATTATGTAACTCTAATAAATTGGAAAAGTCAAGCATAAAACTTTTGTGTAATTATGTATTCTATAAATGCATTCATCCTTTGCTACATATTTTTTTTTATTTTTGTCCTTGGTTTCTTTTTTCATTTCATTCACTGTTTATTGTAGATGCCATGGTAAAATTTTTTAATGATGATGCAGAAGAAGCAAAACCAGAAACATACCTCACAGGTTTAGTGTTAAAGTTTAACAACATTCCATTGTTTTAGAAACTGTATCAGTTTTAATATGGGTCAAATTTTATCAAAACGATATGTGCTGCATTTATGAGGATTTGATTTTGCTGTTAAAATGTGCCGTCAAGATCAATTTGTATTTAATTTTAATCTTTATAGTGAGTTTAACTCAAAGAAAGTATTTAATTGATTGAGAAATGATTTCTGTGCAATTGAATGAAAGAATTATAAAATAAATCAATGTTGTATAGGACAATAAAAAAGTAACTTTGCATCAATCTAAGCACATAAATGGTTCTTCCATCCCAACGACAGAAGCATAGTTTTAAAGGTGACCAACAATATTTGGCTCAACAACTCCCCACGTAAAGAATATTCTCCCTTAGATAATAGTATACTATGTATAAATTACCAAATTAGAATGCAAATTTAGTTTGTAACAGGCATCTCTTTAAAAATCAAACAAAACTTCTGTTCAAAACATATTTAATTCATAAATTACTTGTCAATGTTTATACAGAATAATACAAAACAAAAGGTTAATGGTAACATACAAAAACAAAGATTTTCCATGAAAAATGTTTTACGTCTATATCAGATTGATTAAACATAATTTGTTGACAATTAAACTACCTATTTTCTTTCATTATAGATATCCTAGAGGATAATATTGAAGAAAAGGGGTTTGAGCAGGGGGAAGATGATGTTGGGAACAAATATTACACACTTGTTCCGTGAGTAAAATTACTTTGGGGTTTCCATATTTTTTTCATATTTGTTTTAATTTAATCGAAAATTGTCATCAGAGTTTACGATCTAAGCGTAATAAATGTAAAAAAAAATGTAAAACAATTCTCTTTCTTTAAGGAAAGACAAAAGTGACATAACAGATGAAGAGGAAGGCAAAAATGGTTTGAATTTCATTCACATTAATATGGTGGGGACCCTGAAGTCCGCACATAAAATATATAAGCGAGGTTAAAACGATTGCCATGAGCTTATGTCAAGCTACGCAGAGTTATGTTCAAAATACGATGTAGTAACGATATCGACACATTACTTTTTTATAGTTTACTACAATATTTCTCTATTTTTGTGTGTCTATTACAATACTTCCTGTCAGTATCCACGAAAATGCATCAAATCATGTTTGTCCAAAGAATTATGGTTTCCATCCTTGATATTATCAATTTCAGTTAAGTGTGCAGTTATGCATTACGTCACAACCTATGATGACAGATGCGCTCAAGGTAAATAGTACAACTAAAAGCCTCCAAACCGCAAGTTAACGACTGGGAGTTTCTTCTAACCCCTAATTGGTTGCTCGTGCAACAAACAATTTCCGTGTCCTCTGTTGATAAAATGAGTCGACCAATCACGGGGCAGGGCCTTGAATGGTTTACGTTGGATGCATTTCTTGAAAAAGATTGTTACATAATGCAGAGCGGCACACTTAACTTACGAGTAACTGAAATTAATAATATTGTGTTTTTAACATGTGTTACTTAAAAACACTTTTTATCACTTTAATAAAACAAAGATTGTACCTGCCTTTGATATCGACGATATAGTACCGATATATAAATCATGACTGTAATAAACATATTACATTACCAACCTTTACCCGAAACAAAACATTTTTTTAACATATCTCAAGACTATATCTTCAGTGTTTCTTCATGCAACGCTTGTGTATATTTTCTTTCTGACAGAAAAATTTTCTGTACTCTCGATATCAACGGTATCGTATTGATATCGAATCGTGATTGTTAAAACATATTTAACAACTTTCTTCCCTAACCCAACATCTTACTCTGAACCTAATCCAAAAAATACTAGAGTTACAATCCCTAACCCTTTTTATTCATAAATTATTTTCATATTCATACCAATAATGAATCAATTTTGACTTCGTAAATTTATGTTATACTTCATTGTGAAAATAAATTGTACATATAGGATCAATATCGATACGATATTGACATGGTATTGTCGATATCAACTACATCAACATAGCAAAAATACTCACGTATAGTAAAATGTATTTCCATTAATAGCACTAATCATGATCGATACGATATCAACATAATGTTGTCAATATCCTTGATGTAAACATCGAATTGCTCTTGGACATGTTTTGGCATGCATGAGCAAGAATGCTAGTGAGAATCATCAGTGGGCGTGCTTTCCAAGCTTAACATTCACGTGTTAGAGCAGAGCGTAAAACGCTATCTGGTGAGAGAATCGACATTTGAATTAATCTAAGCCTTTAGATCATTTTGCTCTTTTTGAATTACACCAGAAGAGCTGATGCAATTTTAATGTTTCCATCGTCCGTCTGTCTTAAAACAATTTTCTTCGAACAGTTTTGGTCTGATTTCAATATACAACTTGGCACACAAGTACACTACACTACGATACATAGTTCTCTGTATATGTCTTTGATTCGATTAACGCGGTGTTGTCATGGGTACTAAAAATAGACATTTCTGTAAAATGCATTCAATATGCAACTCTTTCTACAGTTTTAGTCTGATTTCAATATAATTTGGCGCACAAGTAGATTACAATAAGATACAACATTCTTTGAATTAGTTTTTGACTTCGATGAACGGTGTTGCCATGGATACTGAAATAGAAACTTTTGCGAAATAATTTAGAAAAGCTATTCTTCTTATAAATTTAATCTGATTATAATATTTTGCTGCATGTAAGCAGACTACACTAAGATAAAAACATGACTGTACTAGTAATTGTTTTATTGGGTTTCTTATTATTATTTTGATGAATGATGTTCAGGGTTCTCCACATTAGAAAATTCACTATGAAGGAAGCTGCGTGAAGGCCAAATGTGTCCAAAAACACAAATGCGTTTTAGACTTCCTAATCTTCATTAATCAATGATTGGTTTTACTTTTTTTAAACTTACCCACTACAACACAAAAAGAACACTTCTTAAACATGTTAAAGTTAGGAAAATACTAATTAGGGATTTATCCCGTATCTTACTTCAAAAATATACCAAAAATTGTCCAGTAAGCATGGCAATATTTTTTCAGAAATTAATAATTATAAGAATTGTAGCCTGTTACATACATGACATATGAAATGTTTGTTTTTTTTTCTTCAATATGACCATAACTGATGAATTGGTAGTATTTTTAAGTTAACACACAAAGGAACATTTGGACCTGTCACCAGTGTCCTTTTTATCTAAACATTTTATTTTTCTAGATATTGCATTTTTCATCAAGTTTTGTTTACTTCTCCACGTTATATATACTTAGTGCTAAAAATAGTGCCACGTGATGTTTCATAACAACGGGAAGAAACTTGAAAACTAAGACTAAGACGGCGATTAAAACTAAGACGGTGATTGAGACGTGGGCCCAGTGCACATTTTATCAGAAAAGATAAAGTTAAAGCTTAAAAAACAGAGCATGGGAAATTTATTAAATACAAAGAAATAAGAAATTGTTACAGAGTATTTTTTTCTCGCGTAGCAACTTGAAACGCATGCATTACGATTATCAATCAATTAATTGTCAACCTTTATAAACCCGTTATCTAATCATGCAGTGAACATGTTGAAGTTTCCAAAAATTATTTACATGTGTACAGGACAATAAACTTTCCAAAAATTGATCATTTGATCAGCTAATTGACTCTCCATTGATTGTCACACTTCACAGCATCATATGAGTCGCTGATTAACGACGTGTTTGTTTAGCACAGTCCACTTACCTTCGAGGCATGCCAGGTGCATGGCAGTCGTAGCATAAACACAATTAAATACTCAAGTCATTAAAAAAGTAGGTGTCAGGATTTAAATGCAACAAAATTTAACCATGGCGGCTACTGATTTTAACCATGGTGCAGCTCGTTTAACCATGGAGCACGACAATGGAAATTAAAATTGGAACAACATAGGACCAATGCACAGAAAAGCCCATCATATACTGTTAAAAGATTGTTACGGTTGCATTACAAACAGTTTTCACGTTATGATGGAAACAAGCTTCACCCATTCTCAATATAAGGGCACAAATGCCTCTCTGATTTTTAAAAAAATGAAGTTCAAGAAAACAATTTTTCTATCAATTATCTTTGAAAGAATGTATCTGAAGATTTTGTTTCCAGATTTTTTTTCATCAAATTATAATACATGGAATAATGACAAGACGATAAAGCAGAGGGTGATTTTATTCAGAAATGTCGCTTGAAATGTACGTTACTCTTACTTCAATGTCCAAAAAGATATGTAAAAAAAAATGTAGTCATTAAAATCACAATTGGAATAGCTCATCTTAACACCAGCACATCCTACCTACTCTGTCAGCAACATATTTTCTCGGCATACGAACGTGCGTTTGATTTTTCCTTTCAAAAAACAAAGGTTACTTTTTAATCCAGATGTATAAAAACATTTTTTTTAATATATGCTTTAAATTCTTCTCTCTGTTTTGTTTAGAGCGATCAGTTTGTAATCTTGTCATTTTTCATAGATACTGGAACCTAACATGTACATGTAGAAAAATTCTATTTTGTAGTTACTATCTTTTTTAACATATATCCATGCTGATTTAGAAAACTACGTAAATGTAACGTACATTTCAAGATATATTTCTGTTTAATAAAAAGCTTAAAATTCATATAAAAATTCATTGTTTTGATTCAGTTTATTAAAAAAAAAGATTCTCTATGTAATCACATTGTGTTATATGTAGCAAACACCACTATAAAGATACGATTGCCTCAGAATATGAGTAGGTAACGTACATTTCAAGCTTGTAATATGTAAATTAGTAATAAGAAAATTTTGAAAAAAAAGCAATTATTGAAAATTCATTTCAATGAAGCGTTTTAAGGCAGTAATATAAGAAATCATAATGTAACAAACGAGGTTATTTGTCATTAACTACATGAATGTCACGTCACTTCGGTAACGTTCATTTCACATATTATTGGAGAGTCCCCTCCACCTCAGTTCATTACCATTCTTTTGTGCTGTTTCGCTGAAATTAACACCGGTTGTAGCCTAGTTACTTCTACATGTGTGCAAGGGTACAGACAAAAAAATATAAGAGTCAGACGTATTTTGCTATGATCTAACATATGCTCGTGTTTGGTCATTGGAACTGAACATAAATCTATTCCGAATATATCCATCGACAGTATGTTAACAATTTCATTTAGTATGTTGCAACATCGTTTTTCAAAACACAAACATACGTGCTTTTCAGCAAATCTGGAAAAATATAACCCAAAATGCAATGATTCAAACAAAACTGAGTATTGTGTGCCTTTCAGTATTTGAAATGTACGTGACCGTCTTGTGTTCTGGGTTTAGGCCTATTTGTTTCTTTTTTTCAATTTTTTTTTCTTTTTTTACCAATTATACGCCTATGCATACCTTGTTTAAATTATCAACAACAATTAAATTATAATATTGACGAAAAGTCGCATATTAAAAGTAGACAAACTGCAATAAGGTTGCCAAAGATGAATTTAAGACACTTAGAAATAAATTTTCTAGCATGTGGTAACAGTCTAAAACATTTACGAGGATTGGGGGTGCATTTAGATGGATTTATGTGGCCAGTTGTCAAATGGATTGTAACGATAATTTTGTTTCGCTCGTGTAAAAGCAATTCATTGACTAAATTTAAAAAAAAATGTCAGTTAGAAATACGTGA